TATTTCACTATTTCTGATACAATTGTATTCCCTACTGATATGTATCTAAATCCATATATAAAAATACAAATACACATGTTTCAGTAAAATCATTTTGATAAAATCCAAACCACACAATTTGTTTTGTAAAAAGCCAGTGTTTTGATACACAGTCACAGAACTAGTTGTCTGGATGAATGTCGTGTGTCTCTGCTGCTGTTAATCCACATGGTCAATGTATTGCTCTTACAGAAACTATTATCAGTATTACATAACTGGAACTATTGTCCTTTGTGATAGCGCCTGAAACCTTTGATTGGAAGTAATATCCAAAATTCACTTGAATAATATCTTGGTTTAACAGCCAAATTTTCTTGGGTTTCACTAAAGTGGCAAAAGACCTGGGTCCGATCCACAAGGCATTCGTAACGTTACGACCTGTCGTAATGCTATAATTTACCATAGGCTTACATATGTTGTAGTGCTACAAACGCTTCGTGGCTTCGTGGGTTGGGACCCTGTATCACCATCACTTCCTTACATGTGAAGCTATGGTCTGTCCAGACTGGCATATTTACTTGCTACCATAACATAGCTGAAATATTGCTGAAGGTGGCACTAAAATTAACTCCACTAAACCATGACCTTCTGCATGAAGCTTACATCCTATCACATAACTGGAACTTGTTCAAAGGGTTGTTAAACCAAACTCATACGCTCACTAGTCACTCCATTTCACAATCATACATTTTTCCACTGACATGGCTTAAAGAGCCATAAAATCGAAGTCACTTTTAGCAATGTGATGCACATGAAGCCTATGAATAGTTCCTCCTTCACACAACCAGCAATTTACAATACTTTAATCACCTGGTCTCATGAGACGTATCACTAGATGGCTATTATACTCTCATACCACAGTTACCTATCTGCCCCTTGAGATACGACGCTCAAATCCTCCACCAAAATTGATGATCGACATATTTCAACATATGAGAGAGTAATGGGATGTTCGGGTGAAAAAGATGTAGTCATCTCTACAACGTTAATTGTTACTGCTCAAAAAGAGAGTTACGCAACGAAAATCAATGCTTATGTCTGCTGGCAAGAAGATTTGTGTGAAGTAGCACTGATAGCCTAAATACCTTCTAGAGACTTTGAGGTAGGAAATGATATCCACATCTAAGCTCCATGTCAACTCCGCAACAACTAAAACCATCCAAGCAATAGATATAAATAACCTGGACAGCCTCCCTGTCACCAGCCCTGACGGCCAAACTGTCTACATCAGGCTTTCTTGAAGTCTCATCCTCATCAGAACATGCTATAATAGCACGGGGGAAAACATTTGTAAGGATTCATAAAAGCAGACCCACAAATGGAGATTTCAACATTTTTTTATCCATACGTCTATCTTAAGAAGGAGTGGATGTCATGACAAGACATTAAATGAAGCAGAGGTGATCATAAGAAAAGAATCTGTTCACATACTGCTTCCATTCATCCACCAGAAAGGTCTGTTACAAGTTTAAAGAACACAAAAATGAATACTCAAATTTTCTTTACTGTGCTGTTGCTTAAAGAATTTCAAAAATAGGTCATGTCAAATTGAAGATCAGTTTGATGTTTAAGACACAGAGATTGTTTCACAACTTTGATTTCAGGAACATTATTTTCCTTTCATCATTGATGGTGATTCCTGAGAAAATTGAGCTTAATCTCTCTTTGAACATTATTTCAATTATGTCACAGCGTGTTAGCATATTCAAAGAGAGCTCAAAGGGATGCAGGTCTTTAAACTGGCAAAAGCCACAAGCATTGTTTGGTGCTGATACATAAAGGTCGTTCAGTTTGCCAAATGTTAGAATCAAACTCAGCGGATAGACACAACTAAGGGACACAAGACTGCCCAGCAAGTTGCAGCTTCTAAGATCACAGATCACCTGTGCCCTTTGCCTCAATAGGAGACAGAAGTGCGAAGCTAGGTGTAGCCTTACAAAGAAAACTACTAGCTAGGCTGCTCAATGTAAAATCCCTATCTGGATTATGAAATCATGTCTTTTAGTCATGAAACAACATCTCAGTTCAATGTTGACAACCAATAACCGTACTTTTTGCACTATTACCTGCATCTTTTTCCCTCAAAAATGAAATGCACACGACAGATTTGTCCATATTTAATTATTTAGCTACTGTTATTGTACAGCTGGAATATTGCTTAAAGTCAATCTCTTTGCATATCTCAGCTTTCTATCCAAACTACAAGAACAGGGAGTTGAAATTTTATACAAAATATGTAATAAGCCTCATTATTCTATATCACTTATGATTTATAAATGAAACGAATATACATCCTGACGGGTTGTTCGAGAGGAAAAACAACCTGTTTTAGAACCTTTACAATTTTTTTTATTCACAATACATAATGCATGGATAATTCATGAATGACCATGAAGCAGAATCTGTCACACTGCAAAAACTTATGACGGCAAATAAATTCATTACTAAAAATACTACTACAGTAATATCACCACTTGTCATGCTGCTGTAGGAGGAAAACCATCAGAAAAGCTGTCGCACTTCACTGCTTTGGCATAAATCAGAAAGATGCGTTGGTGAAGAGAAATCAAACAAAGAGTGAACCTTGCAAAACAAGACCGTATATTTCAAACTGTCTTTGGAAGAGCTCCCCCAATAGTTGTCTCTATATTTTCTGAAAAAAAACCCCCCAAAAACCCCAAACACCACCACAAGTCTTCAAACAAGAAAAGCTTAGTCTGTGTCCGACAGTGAGTATAGTTTTACGCCGCTTTTAGCAGTATTCCAGCAATATCACGGCGGGGGATACCACAAATGAGCTTCACACATTGTACCCATGTGGGGAAGGTGAGGTGAGGTGAGGTGAAATTGGGTTTAACGTCGTGCTCGAGAATATTTCGCTCATATGATGACGTGCAGAAGCTGGTTTTATAGGGCTGGCCCACTGAGATACCATGCCGCAGTGAAGCATGAATACCCCACTCAGACACATTATACTGAGCCGACCAGTCCTTGTTGTACCCATTAATGCTGAGCGCCAGGCAGGGACCAACAAGTACCATATTTTAACGTCTTTTGGTATGAAGCGGTCGGGGATCTAACCTGCGACCTTCCGCTCTCCGGGTGGATGCTCTAACCATTACACCACGGAGGCGGCCCCATGTGGGGAAACAAACCCGGGTCTTCAGCGTGACGAACGAACGCTTTAACCACTAGGTTACCCCACCCCACTGCCCCTGTGTCCAACAGACTTAAAAAGCTACAAAACAAACAGAAAATATCTTAAAAGAAACAAATTTGATATTTTCCTAGGAATATGAACTTTCTGTACAAAAATATAGTTGGCTGACTTTTGTCTTTCATCCCACAGCCAATCAGGAAGGAAAATGACGCAAAACCCACTTCAAACTGTCTACATTTCAGAACTTTTGTTGGCCCAGACAGGGTTATCTCCCCCTTATCCCCTGCTGGAATAAAACAAACAATGATATTATTTCATGAGGACCATAAGTAGCACTTCATCGACATTTTCCCAGACGGAAAAACACCCCAAACAGAAACAAGCAAAGGGCATGCCTGATAATTGGTTTTCCCAACATTTTGCTCAGCTCTGATTGGTCAGTATAATGGGGCTGTCTTTCAAATCTAATTTCATGAATAGTACAAAAACTAGAGAAGGGCTGGTGGCATTTGAAACTGGCAATATTGGCAAAGTATAGCTGGTTCAATAGGTCACAGCCTGTACATTAAGATCTAATTGCACTTGCAGACAAAACGTGCATAAGATTTGCAGCTGCAAGTTCCAATGATCTCAAACTTTGTAATTGATTTATTCAGTAATCAGACTGCCTACGTCAGGTCTTCTAACCTTTCAGACAGAAATATGGCAATTTATACCCCACTCCAATCTAAAGATGTGACAATATACTTATGAAAATATATGCCAGTGTGAGTATTGTTGCATCAGTAGATCAGTTCTCGTTTGATCCACCCAGTTCACGTTCTGTGGCGGAATAGGCCAAATGTAATTCCCAATTTGTGAAAGTGGATAGTTTCATTGAGATGATGTTTTCACGGCAACTATGCATGGATATACTTGTGAGTTATCATTAGGTTTCTGATAAGTATAAAAAATGCAACACAGCAAAGTGAAATTGCAGCAACCTAGGCACTTTAAGGTGACCAGTGGACTCTACCCACAAGTTAGTCATCACTGGTTTCATGGTAGGAAAACTGCTCACCTGTGAGGAAAAGTTACTGTTCATTCCCTCACTGATGGAGCATAAGTGCTACAGTGAGTGAGTGAGTTTAGTTTTACACCTCTTTTAGCAATAGTCCAGCAATATCATGGTGACAGACACCAGAAATGGGCTTCACACAATGCACCCATGTGGGGAATCAAATCCGGATCTTCAGTGTGATGAGCGGACGCTTTAACCATGAGGCTACCCCACAGCCCCTATAGTTTGTCTGCTTCATTTCGTGGTGTAGAGTTACATCCCTTAGCAGTGTCAGGATGTGCTGTATGGAGATTTATGATTATTAGTCTGTCTGCACTATACCTGTGTCAGTGTTACAAAACCATCTCTGAACTGCATTACTTGGGCTGGCCATGTTACAGCCATATTACTGTCCAGCTCAACCCTGGCTTACCTAAACCAACCTCATTCACACTCATCACAGCGTGAGTTAGTTCTTAAACTGAACACAATTCAATAAAAAGTGTGAAAATATACTCACACACCAAAACATGTAGGGTTAATTACCCTACAATAAACTCGTCAGCTGGAGGTAAAAAACATTTCCTAGAAACATATGTACCATGCCAATCATAAATAATGAGAAATGTCAAATGTAAACAATCTAGCATGCATACAGTTAATTATAAACTGGTAAACATGCAGCAGCTGAACCAGGGGTCAATATATATACAATACATCCCGATTATGGTAATTTCATTGCTCCTAGCTCCACATCAGAAGACGTGAGCAGTAATGATACCATATGCTACAATATACAGAAGCTCTTAACACCCATGTCCAAGGGCTGCCAATACCACAGTCGTCGGTGAGTATCTGATCTAAAACTGCTACTGAATATTTTAAGCGTGTTACCAGTATGTCTGATATTCATATTCAAGTTGGAAAACAAATATAATAATAACATTTTCAGAGAAGCTGTGTTGGCTGAGGGATTTAGATTGCTTGTGTTTTGGCGATTAGGTGAATGACTCTGAAATAGTGGGTTCGAATCCTGGATTGAAATAAATTTAACAAAAGTGCTGGAACTAATACCTTACTGAAAAAGTGTAACCCCAAACATAATATATGTTATGCTCTTAAAGAGTAACATATTTTACAGAAATCATGAAATATTTCAGGGGGGCGGATACAGCTTTTTGAGAAAAGGGGTTGCACAGTTCATTTTCGCCTGTTTTCACGAGAGTTTCCATGGTCATTTAATAAACTTTCAGGAAAAAAAGGGGGGAGAGGGGGTTGGGTGGGATCGGGTGGCTGTGCGCACCCTTGCAACCCCCCCCTCTGGATCTGCCAATGTTCTTTAATCTGACTGAATGAATATTGACATCTAATAGTAACCAACCTTAACCTCTGTGTTCATAACAACCTAATCGCTTCATTGTTAATGTACACATCCAAATCTGACAACAAATCCTTGTTGTTTTCACCAACAAAGAAACATGCAAACATCATAGCCACATAAAACAGAAATGGGCAGTGCAAATATCAAGGAATTGTATAAAAGGGATAAAGCTGGATTCCCTTTTCAACCAGGACAATACAATCTCATTTAAAGTAGCAGGTTGTCAGCAAGGATATAGGGATCCTGCATGCCAGCATTAAGCTGCTTGTTGTAAGTAACATTATATCAGTGATGAAGAAAAGTGGTTGGCGGAAATAAGGGTACTTGCAGTGGTGTTTTCATGGATGAGTTAATGACACTGGTTACTTTCAGATGGTAATAAGCCCTCCAAGGGAATCAAACACACATGGGAGCAATCAATAGCTGTCAGTCACATGAGCTTGATTGACAGCATGAATATTGCAAGGGACAACTGTTATTTTTGTGTCCATGATCACAAAAAAGTCATGACCTCGAGATGGCAAGTTAACGGCCATAATACCACGAAATAACCTATAGACTGAAAGAGTTCTTGCAAAATTGGCATCAATGGTAAGGGGACAATATTCAAAACTGACATTGAAATGATATTTATACAATACTGAAAACAATGAAACATATTTTACATCTGTCTATCTTGGCAATATGTGACATTATTGATTGATACTGACGACACATGTTCAGTATCTTGTGAAACCTTGTCAACTAAGACCACAACACCACACTGATATCCGCTAGATATAGGTTTGTTTGTTACCACACTCAGCAATATTCCAGCTATATCACACTGGTCTGAAAATAATTTGTAGCAATTAACTCAGTGCATGCTATAGAGAGCAACAACCCAGGCTATCACACATGATGATGTTTATCAGGTTCAGAAACTAACACAAGGAGTGAGTGAGTGAGTGAGTGAGTGAGTGAGTGAGTGAGTGAGTGAGTGAGTGAGTGAGTGAGTGAGTGAGTGAGTGAGTGAGTGAGTGAGTGAGTGAGTGAGTGAGTGAGTGAGTGAGTGAGTGAGTGAGTGAGTGAGTGAGTGAGTGAGTGAGTGTTTGGTTTTACGACGCTTTTAGCAATATCACGGCAGGGGACACCAGAAATAGGCTTAACACATTGTACCCATGTGGGGAATCGAACCCGGGTCTTCGGTGTGACGAGCGAATGCCTTAACCACTAGGCTACCCCACCGCCCCCCTAACACCAGGAATGAAACTAGTCTCTATCACAGTCCCTGAACCACAGTATTTTTCCTACTGCCTAGCCCACACTGCAATGCTAAAGCCCTAAATGAAGCAAGTCTAGATTTCCTCAGGTTCTCTGGTTTTCCTGGGGCTCCTTTTCAATTTAAAATGGGTTTGTTTGTTACAATCAAAATTATATATAAGCATTAGTCTAGGAAGGTACATGACAATGTACTCAGCAGATGAAGAATGCAAAGGGCTAGAAAGAGATTCAGAATAGTTTTGAGGATGCATACCACAGAATGTTAGGGGGTGAGTGAGTTTAGTTTTCGCAGCTTTTAGCAAGATTGTACCCATATGGGGAATCGAACCCCAGTCTTTGCTACCCACAGAAGGTTAGGGTTCAAATTAGGATGCATGTCATCATAAGTGCTACAGTGATGTCACTGAGTTAGTCAGACAATAATATGAACAATATCAGTGACTGGGGATGGTTCATAATCTGGCACAGTGGGTATTGCCTTTGCTGATCACAGAATTTAGAGTTCCCAATGGATGGAGTTTTGAGGTAGCACAGTAAGTACTGGATCACAGGATGTGAAGAGTTCAGATGCACACATGGATGGAGTGAGTGAAGACAACAGTCTGTGACTCCAGCTGTTAAAGAGTTACAGTGCTGTAAAACCCTCCCTAGTCACTCCAGCATCACGTTGACACATTCAGGATATCAATTTAACTAAAAATAACAATGGATGGGTAAGTTTATTTGATTACTGAGCGTCCATTTAATCAGTCTTGGGATGTGACTATTTCAGCACCAATGTAATTACACCACTCCATGGAGTGTGACAAATCCCGGTTTACGGGAGTGCGAAAAATATATTTCAGTCTCACCAGCGAAGGTGATAGAATTACCCAGGACATTTTGGAAGATAAGTTGGAAGTAGGATTGTGATTGAGTTGTATACAACTTGCCTAGTGACAGTGGAGCTTCAGCTTAGCAGAAGCTGGACACATGGATAACCCCTTCGCAACAGATGGGACAAATGGTTGTCAGCTAGATTACCTACGACTTGGTGGCTTCAGAGAAAAATTACAAAGTAGGGAAATAAACGACAATGAACAGCAGAAAAAGCTTTGTGCAGGGTTTATAGAGTATTTGGGGCTTTAAACAAATGAAGGCTTATCAATTGGTGGAGAAAGCAAATCTTTTCATAAGGGGTCAAAGATCTGTCAAGATTAAAAAAGTACTTTACATATGGACTTCATGGAAATTGTTGAATTTCCTGGACTTTTTGACAAATAGTTACAGGAATAGTAAACTACTATCCAATATCAGTAAAGCTTCTTAGACATTATTCACCATTTTGAAAAACAAAATACATAAAACATATATAAATGTCGGTAACAAAACCCTGCTCAACAAAGTAATGTTTTTAATCACATTTTATGATTAAAACAAACAAAATTAACATCTATGTAATAATAACTTCAAAACATAAAAATATAGGATTGAAATTTCAACTGCCTAATAAAAACTAATGACATTTAAGCTTCCCTAAGTAGCTGTGATCACTGTACAAATGCCACTAACATCATCTAAAAATATCACTTTGTTTTGCGGAATGTAACATTGCAACATAATTCCTAAGTTATGAGAAAGTAAGATTTTAAAGAGTTTTGAACACTGATAACTAAGGATACTACGATATGCTGATCTGAACAATTTGCTTAAATCCTACATATTGAATGACTGATTAGACTTTCTTTGTTTTTCTCAAATCTTTAAGCAGAGAGGTGTCCTATCAGAGAAATGATCTGAGGCCCCCTTGCACCCAGTCAGCTAAGAACTAACTTCATTCCTACATTTTAACATTGACTTAAAACAGTCTTCATGCAAAGACCTCTTTGTTCAAGCAGGCTGCCATGACCTGCAAGATCTAATTCTTCACAACATAAAGGCCTGTGCCATCATGTCACCTGCAATATATATTGTAATCTCCATTGGGCAAACTCATAATAACTTGGCAATGGCTCCTCAATATGTCTCTGACTTGGTTGTCATAAGGACAAGACAAAGCCATCAACCATCCACCACAAGACAACTTCATCATACTTGTTCTGGAAGCCTCATGAAATCCCCAGTCCTCTTGCTGCTGATCAGATTAATTGCAGTAAATGAGTAAGGCCAGATAGATCAGGGCAAGATGGTGCGGTGATTGATTTTCAAAAGGTCCATGCACTTTATCATATTGTCATGAAGTCTATTTGAGTGTTGGCTTGTAAACAGGAGGTGACAGTGTACATAATTCAGCCTTGAATACAGGGACTTCATCATACAAAGGACCAATTTGAATCTTTTCAACAAGTAGTCGAATGTACTCTAAAATCTTTTTCTAAAATGAGGGAACCTTTACACAAATGTGCTTTTAAAATCAGTTCCCTGGATCCAAAATGTGACAACCTTTATATCCAAATTACTCTTAATGTCAGCCCCTCACATCTAGAATGAGTGTCCATGGACTCTAAATGTACATTAATTTGTGATGTAATTCACTGCAGCCATGTAAATAAATATCCATCTTCTTCATATTGTGCAGCTGCAGCACTATGTCTACATGACACAATCATTTTTCCATCAAAGATCTACAAAGTGTCAATTAGTGATGAGCATTAGAAGTCGATTTCTTAGCATAAAACTGCAGGGTCATGAAGCTGTGAATCTTGATCCCACAGTTGGCACACAGAACATGTAACTGAATATATATCCTTCCGGCTGACAAACAATAAATCTAAAGTCAGATCTTCAGGGAGGATTGGAGTTTCAAGGTGAATCCTGCACCAGTCATGAACCTATGCAGGAAATTCTGCCCACCAGATGACACGTCTTCTAACCATGCCAAACTGTGTAGCCTGATTGGAAGTAAAACCCTACCCTTGCTCCAAGGCTGTACTGAAGGCTAAGCCAATGGATGTTTATAGTCATTCTATCCTTGAAGGAGGCAAGTCTTGATAATTCTGTGAGAAGGTTATTCTATTTTATTTAGAAATTATCATTTAAACTATTAATTATTACTTAAGAGACTTGTGCAGGTCTATTAAACGCGTGAAACTTAAGTTACAACTGAATAGCAAAAACCTATTTCACTGCTTCAATCTAATAACTAATAAATCTGGGGGTTTTTCCAGTACATTATTACAGTAAAACATAGTCCATAATGTCAAGAAGAAAAAATCTTAAATTAA